TTAAAATTATATTTTAAAGCGTTTAGTGTATTTATTTATCTTACAACAGAGCAGTCGAAATGCTTTTCGCGATAATTTAATATGATAATATTATAATTTAATCGTGTATCTTTCTGTACATCATGCTATTCCCGTGAATGTGGTGCCAGTCATCTGTCTAACTCCTTTAAAGGAAATACTGAATCAAATTATTATACTTTCCGTTACAATCTTAAAGTTGATATATAGCTAATGGAGGACTTTTTTTTTGCCGTGTATTTCTTCTATCCATTGTCATTTATTTGGCTCCATCCTCGAAAATAAAGAGGAACAGTAATCAGAGTAATAAACAAAGATTCATTCACACACACAAACAAACGCACGACAATCGAAATTTATAAATGTACAATCTCTTTCAAATTGCATTCGAATTTTCATTTAAATGAAAAATTTTTCATGGACATTTGATTCCGAACGAGCAATGGTTTATTGTGTTTTGCTAATTCTGTTTGTCATCTTTACGATGTCGAAAAACTTCATTGAATTTTTTTATACCTGTTCGTTTACAACAATTGGTTCAATGCATCTAATTTTCTTACTATTAAAGATTTCTTTTAATTTACTCTCAAGTTAAATGTAATATTATGCACTTCATTATTCCACAAGAGGAGGAATCAGGAAAATTGTGTAAACTGTCCTGGCAAAAATGATTAAGTTGTGTTAATTGTGTGAGAAAATAAAGCATTTTCCCATACAATTAACAAATAACAAATATTAAATAACAATTAACAAATAACAAATATTTCACCAGGTTAACAAATAACTAAAACGGTTTAATCAATGAAATAAAACAAAGAGATGCATAAATCGAGGTACATAACACAACCTATCGAAAATCGAGCTTATCTAAAATACACCTTTAAAACCAGAGAGAGAAAAAGAGTTTACAATCGGTTAAAAATAATGATAATACCTCTGTCGTTCAAACTTGAAGAATGAAAGATGAATGCTAGAGAATCGGAGCAACACTATCTTCTTTTGTTAGAAAGACAGGTTCTTTGTGGTCACAGACTGCGGTTAATATGGCAAATTCTCTTGGATGTAAACTACCACAAACTGGTGAATATTTCCCTTTTTATTCTACGATTTCACCAATCGGATTTTAGTATTCTGATCATCTGATAGGACATACAAGTTAGGAAAGAAACCAGATGTTCGTCAAATATGTGCGAAGACAACTATCTAAGGGAACTTCTACTTTTCTTTCCGCCGAAATACGACGATTTTTGGTGTATTTTGTAGCTAAAATATTACATTGAATGATTAGTCAAGTGAGAAAATCACAAACTGTACCAACATGTGATAAATAAAATGAACAAATTATCGAAAGAATTGTTTCCGCTCTCGCATTCTCACATTTGTATGTTACTATGCTAAGTTATGAAAACACATATTGTTAAACATAACGGCAATAAGCATTATTTCAACTTCAATATTCGTCGACAACCGATGAGGCCTTAAGCTGGTAGAATTAACAGAATTACGAGTACGATTTAGTTTCGTCGTTTCCAAAAATCACAAGATAAGAAATAAAAAATACAACATCAGTTGGCAATAGGCAACGAGGCGCCGTGGCTTAGTTGGTTAAAGTGCCTGTCTAGTAAACAGGAGATCACGAGTTCGAGTCTCGTCGGTCTCTACTGCGTGAGTTCTGCATTTTTACAAACAAAAAAGATGTTCTTAAAAACACAACATCAGCTGGCAATAAGAATAGGTAACGCGGGCGCCGTGGATTATTGGATATGGAGACATTCTGTAAGCGTTTTACTTAATTGGCTTGACATCAGTCTTCGTTACTATTTCATGGAATTCTAGGGTGCATACTCCAAGATCAAACCTGTTTTTGGCAAATACGTTTAGGTTTCCTCTCAATATTTCCTCTATTTGTTTTACAGAATCTTTAGATAAATCATTCCCGATATTAAAAGTAAATGACTCTATATTTAATTTTCGATAAGAATGAACGAATAAGCTAACGTCCCTTTCCTTCAACGGGTTAGCGTTTGGCCTAATAGTATTTGAATCTGTTGCTTTACTGTCTGATTGTGACGATAAAGACAAGTTAATAAAGCAATATTCTTCACATGGTTTCCTTTTGGCAACAGTAGATTTCGCTGGGAGTAAAACAGGAGTTGAAGTGCTATTTAATACTAGAATTATACATTCATTGTTTCTCACGTCACAAATACCTGATAGCACATTGATACCATTCTCGCCCATTTCGTGCTTTATTTCTGTTGTACCCTGCTTAATTGGACAGCTACCTTTTACAGCACGCATAGTAAGAGCATTCACAAGTGTTTCTTCGGTGGTACGGAATTTTGCGTTGCTATGATGTAGAAGGGGCGTTTGAATTTGACTAATACAATTCTCTCCCATTGGCACTATAAATAAGTTGTCTCTGAAGTTGATGGTTACTTTCATTTGTTCACAAAAATCACTACCTAGTAAAAATTCATGTGGAAAATTTTCCAATACTACAAACACAAATTCAATACTAGTTCCCATTATTTGTAGTCTACACATACAAGTACCTTCACACTCTATCTTTCTATTATCTGCTACGATTAGTTCAATAGATTCAGAACGTATTTTTAGTCTTAATTCTATACATAGTTTTCGGCTTATCAATGATTTTTCTGAGGCCGTATCAATGATGGCACTAAACGGAGATACTTCGATATCCAAATAAATAGAGCGTAACCTTTGATTTCGAAATTGCGAGACACTCTAAAAGATAAGGAGGAATTCTAGCAGCTTGAACACAGGGCTCTTACTCGGGAGCCCGATCCATTAGTTTTTTTGTTCCTCATTTTGATTTTCGAGTTTATCCACGAGTTGGCGCATTTTTTCGAATGCATAAAATTTTGGATATTTACAGCTTTTGTTATAATGACCTCTTTTCCAACAGTTATGGCAAACAATATCGTGAGAACTTTTTTCTGAGACTGTCTGATTTCGAGATATAGCATGTTCTGGTTGTATGTCATTGTTTCTATTGTTAGTTCTCCTAAAGGTTTTAGAACGCTTATTGTACAGTAGACCCCATAACACAAGTTCCTATAATTATGATTCGTATAAAACAGCGAAAAAATTGCGACAATATCCGTACAAACCTGGTAAAAAAACTCCTATAATTCGGTAAAATGTCATCAGGCAGCCGAACTACTTTCCGCTGTCCAGCGCCATGCTACGAGGAGTTTAGGCGAGTAAATTAAGTTTACTATCGTCTGTACAGTATTATATATAAATTAGGTACTGTTCATATAATTATATATTAACATAATTTATTGTAACTTTATTACAATTATATATATATACTTTCCGCCATGCAGCCCCACGCTACGGAGAGTTTAGGCGAATAAGTTGTTTACTAATGTCTGTACAGTATGTAAATTAGGTACCGTAAGTCTAATACAGTACTGTAATTTTATACATTTCTTGTGAAAGAAACATTTCTTATTCAACGGCCATAAAAATTATTTATATTAATGATGTCTCCAAAGTTCAACGAAGTTTTCGCAGAAAAATAAGTTATCAGAAATCAGCCGCGGTTTGGTGTGTGCTGCTCCGCGACGAAAACAAGCTTGAGCAATGGCGATATCGAATGGTGCACACTCGGTAAGTAATCCTATAATTCTTTGTTTATAGCGTAGTTTATACAGATTATTTCGAAAAAAAATATACGTATTTTGGAAATGTTGAGGCGGATTAGTCTAGAATCGATTAATTTTATGGAAGAAAACCTTTCAAACAGCCGTAGTCCGTAAACTTTGATTCCTACAAAATTGATTCATAAAGAACGGAACGTATC